TATTTTGAACATGTAGTTTCAACATTCAAATTTCTGAACACTCGGTTCATTAATTAATTGCGAACACACAGCCCACATTGTTTCCCACGGTTCAAACACTGATTTGTCGAACACACAGCCCGAATTCGAAAGTGAACACACAGCCCAAACTTCAAATTTTCTGAACACGCAACCCAGATAGATAGTGAACACGCAGCCCACAATTTTAACTGAAAGTTGAACACGCAGCCCAAATTTCAAATTTTCTGAACACGCAGCCCAAATAGATAATGAACACGCAGCCCACAATTTTAACTGAAAGTTGAACACGCAGCCCAAATTTCAAATTTTCTGAACACGCAGCCCGGATAGATAGTGAACACGCAGCCCACAATTTTAACTGAAAGTTGAACACGCAGCCTAAACTTCAAATTTTCTGAACACGCAGCCCAGATAGATAATGAACACGCAGCCCACAATTTTAACTGAAAGTTGAACACGCAGCCCAAATTTCAAATTTTCTGAACACGCAGCCCAGGTAGATAGTGAACACGCAGCCCACAAGTTAACTGAAAGTTGAACACGCAGCCCAAACTTCAAATTTTCTAAACACGCAGCCTAGGTAGAATTTGCACGTAATTTATTTCACTTCATCGGCACACAGCCCATTCCATTTCATTGGCACACAGCCCTTTCATTTCATTGGCACACAGCCCATTCATTTCTTTGGCACACAGCCCTTTCATCTGATTATTGACACATGTATTCATTTTGAATGCAGGTTTGCTCCCGCAGTGTGCGGGGATATGGTTCCACTGCCGCGAGGGATTGGTATGCTGAGCTCCTGGAGGCTATCCGAGATTTAGTGGACTTGGCAGGATTTGGACCCTTCTGCGTCGAGTTGTCACGTTGTCCTGCTAGGAGGACGCTGATGGCAGCCTTGGTAGAGAGATGGTGGAACACCACCAATTCCTTTCATTTCTCTGCTACCGGGGATATGACCATGACCCCTTTTGACTTCGCTGTATTGACCGGTTTAGACGTCGGAGGCTGGTCCATCCCCTACGATGAGGATATGGGCGAGTGGGAGGCCGCCTGGATGTATCTGTTGGGTGCTCACCTACCTGTCGACAGGGTTTCAGGCAGAGTCCGATACACTTGGTTCTCCTCCCATTTCCGGCGGGCGGAGATGGTGCCTGAGACTCCCGAGGAGACGGAGCAGTATGCCCGTGGTTTCCTGATGTTCCTCTTCGGGACCACCCTGTTCGCCGACAGAGGGAACACAGTTGTGCTATATTTGCTGAGCGCTCTAGTCGACCTGTCACAGGTCCATCGTTATGACTGGGGTGGCGCCGGTCTGGCTACCCTTTACTTTTATATGAGTGCGACCTCCCGCGGGCGGGGCGATTTGCTTGGCGGCTACTGGAGAGCCTGGGAGGTACTTTCTGTCCCCTTGATTTACATTTCTGCTTTTCATTACCTGTACATTGCACACACAGCGCACTTTTACAGTCTGTATTTTGCTCTCAGTATTTCGTACTTACATTCTACATTGCTTTTCTCAGCTATGGGTTTATGTATACTTCCCATCATTAGCCCCAGAGCTGGAGGTGGTAGGGATTCCCGTGACCCCATATTCATTGATATTCGAGGGCCCGCACCGGCCGAGGCCTCGAGAGACCCTCCTTCGCCTGCGACAGTACTTCGACACTGTGCGACATTCAGAGGTACCTCAGAACTTTCAGTTCTTTTCATTTTCATCCTTGATTTGCTCTGTACATTCTGATTTCTGATCGGTTTATGCATTTGTCATCTGTAGATTACATGGCAGCCCTGGGTGTCCCTGGGTGATGGTCTCCGACTTCAGTATACCGGAGCATCGGACATCTCCCAGTATAGGGTCCTGCTCGAAGGGCCGGTTGGCAGGGCATGGTTCCTGGGGGAGCGCTTTCTGCCCCAGGTATGGGGGTATCTTTCTCAGGATATTCCCGCAGTACCTCCAGCCAGTATGCGGACGGCTCTCTTATTCGGAGGTAGTCGGCGCCATGCTGGGTAGTGATGCTTTACTACATGTTGAGGAGGGGGACTACGCCACTTACCGTCACATATATTTGATGCCTCCATTGACGGAAGCTCGTATCCCGATGATGAGGCCTGCCGGTATGTCATCCTCGGACCAGGCTCGGGCTCGGGCTGCAGACGCCCCTTCCACTAGCAGGGTCGGTACATCTAGAGGTGGGAGTAGACCGGTTCCTCCGACTCCGTCGATTCATCCTCATGTCGGATGGCCAGATATGCCTACTGAGTTGATGGCGTGGCAGTACGGCGGCTAGCTTTCCGACTCCGATTCCACTAGAGCCTCCGATGCCCAGTGATCGATACGCCATTGATCTGGACTCACCGCCGGTATGCTCTACTTTTCCATTCATCATTCAGATGTTTAGACACTCTTCTGTTTACTAATGATTATGAACTCATTTTTGCAGCCATCGCGAGGATACATGGAGGAGGTGGTTGGACTGGTGGCCACACTCGAGGGCATGGTCCTGCGGAGGGAGGCGTCGCGGGCATTCAGGTACCCTTCAGTTTTCTGGCATTTATCATACTTCTGATGACATGCTGATTTCTACTGCATTGATAGACCACTTGTGTAGAGCACATCTGACACACACCCCACTTGTACACTGTATTTACATGCACCCACTTTATGTAGCCCTTGCTTGTATCTGCATCTGTTGTATACATTTGGACTGATGTATTTGATTTGAACTCTTTGTTTTCAGATGCCTTCGTGGTCCGGTCAGCCGCAGGCCAGGCCACCCGGGCCTCATTGGGGGGCTGGGCCATCTGGGCCTTTTCAGGGGGAGGGGTCATCTCGACCTTCCCGAGGAGTCGGGCCATCTAGGCTTTTTCGAGGAGCTCGAGGAGGGCCTGTCCGCAGACGCAGGGCTCACGTTGTGGAGGTGGAGCCTGATGAGGAGGAGGAGGATGCTGAGGGGGAGGAGGAGGCTACCGACTGTCAATCAGAGACATCTGCTGAGGAGGGGGGCTCCGGTTTTGGCTCGGGGAATAGAGGCGAGGCTGAGGGGGATCCTGAGGATGACAGCTCTGACTCAGATGATGGTGTGGAGATTGTCCTGCAGAAGAGGATGAGGCGTGCTTCTCGTTCCCGCTCCCGAGGACTTTGATGCTGCTATTTCCTGCTTTATTTTTCTTTTTGCTAGTAGTTTGTAGCACTTTGCACATTGTTAGGCAGTTTTTTTTTTTTGTAAAACTTGTACCTTTGTTTGTTGTAAAGCATGATGAAATGAAATAGCTTTTGAAAAGGTGTTTGTATTTTAAACTTTAGCATCGTATCGCATCATTTATTTCGCACAAAAATGAAATTGAATGGTAATACGCATTATGTAATCACCAAGTCAGGTAGTGAACCGACGCAACAAACTAAGCAACTCAACTTACTAAGATATAACAGAATCTTTAGCAAGTTTACAACTCGATAAGCAAAATGCAACAACGCAAATAAACAAGACTTAAACAAAGATTGCTTAAACAGAGCGCAATGACTCAAAAACACAAAACACGTCCGCTCGACAAACAACTCGATAAGCAAAACAACAACTCGATAAACAAAACTCAACAACAACAAAGTGTACTTCTGACGATCTGGGCATCGGAACGCATCCGAAACGGAGGGAGATGAAGGCCTTTGACTTTCCCGTTGCATGGAAATGTTTGAAACTTTCCCTTGAAGAGTAAAACAGGGCCAAAGAGATACACTGCAGCATTGCCGGCCACCTCTGGGAGCCGGCCGGCCATTTCTGAAAAAGTAAATGGCTGGCCAGCCAGAAAAAGTGGCTGGCCGGCCATTCAGTCCTGCAGCCACCAGATTTTTGACACGTGTCCCCGTGAATAGTGTTTTTCCTTCTATAAAAGCCTCAACTTCGGGAACATTCATTTCAACTTAGTTTTAGGCGAAGATGGAGGCGTTTCTCGCAGAAAATGTCACATCTTGGATCTCTTCTCTAGACGGCTCGGAAAAGCTGAATTTCCGGGGTTTCAGCTTGAATGCACTATTCACGCTAAGCCGTACTCCGCTACATCTCCCTTTTCTCCATGCCGCGGCAAGGTTCTGGAACCCAGTGACGCACGTTTTTAGCTTCGGCGGCCAAGAGGTATGTCCCACTTTCGAAGATTTTCAGGTTTTGATGGAGTCTGAATGCTCTGAAGTGATCTTGCCCCAGCTCCGTTTTGGCCATGCTCAGGCTTTAGGGCGGATGTGTGGGCTCACGGCGCATGACGCTCGATCTCTGAGAGGTGGGGGTAGACCGGTTCCTCCGATTCCGTCGACTTATCCTCATCCTGGATGGCCAGATATGCCGACTGAGTTGATGGCGTGGCAGTATGGGGCTATCTCTCCGACCCCGATCCCGCTAGAGCCTCCGATGCCCAGTGATCGATACGCCATTGATCCGGACTCACCGCCGGTACGC